ATTGATTATCATCCTCACATAACAATTGGGGACCGAGGAGAGATTAAAGATACAATAATAAAATAAATATTTTATACGATCTTATATTATGCATATGCGTCTATGTAATTTTGTGTGCGATGACCCTTAAGGTGAAATTACATGGTGAGCAAAAGAGTTGCAGGATAGAGAGTCATAGAACCAACCAATCAGCACAAAAAAACTTGCGTGATAGAAAAGAGCGACATAGCGCTAATTGGTTGTTTCTATAACGTACTTTCTATTTCGCAGCTCTTTTACTTACCATATAATTTCACCCTAAGGCTTTGAAGCGTTGTGTAACTAGTTTATTGTAATAGGTCCATTAAGAGTCGATAGTTGTAATCGGTAATTGATCCATTGAGAGTCGATAGTTGTAATCGGTAGTTGCATCGGCTCTCGATATTCAGTTCAATCGGTATATAGTGTTGGAAATTAGCTTGAAGGAATCCCTCAGAAAAAGTTGTTCTTAAGAAATTATAGAAGAAAACAAAAATATAAGAAAAAAGAAAGTATAAGATTTATTAATAATTAGCTGGTCTTATTTGTTTATAAAAACATTTCACCGTTTTTATTCTATCTTTTTCCTCTCTCAGATACGCGCAGTCTTTTAACCTATGGACTGTCAATTATGATTTATAATGTTAATTAAATTAAAATATTTTTAATAGGCAAAAAGATAAACAGAAGATAGATAAATAAAAAGAGACAGAGAGAGAGAGAGAGAGAGAGAGAGAGAGAGAGAAGAAGAAGGAAGAAATATTTTCTCTGAAGAAAAAAGGAAAAGGAAGAGAGAAAAAATAAAAGAAGAATTTGTGAGTTTTTTAGAATATACTTTTTAATTAAAAGGTACAGGGTAAACGCTACATCAGTATCATAATTTTTTATTTACAGTGTAAGTGTTATATATAACACATGTAGTTCTATTGTTGAGCGAGAATTATAATATTGATGTAATGTTACTTTTAAAGTTGCTGTTTATTGAATAAATATTTTTCCAATAAATATTAATATCAGTAACATAACATCAATGTTATAATTTCCCACTTAAGAATGTAATTGTTACATAAAATTCATTATATTTCATTTACATTGTTGAATGCAAAATTATAACATTGATGTTATGTTATGGTTAGTTGGTGTTTACTGGATTTATATATCTCTTTCTGTGCATAACAATTATTCTTTTAAATTTATAAATAATATAAGAAAAATCTATTAATGCGTGATATTGCACACTGGTACATTGATACATTTGTAAATAATGTTAACTAAATTAAAATAGTTTTAATAGGCAAAAAGATAAATAGAAGAAAGATAAATAGAGAGAGAGAGAGAGAGAGAGAGAGAGAGAGAGAGAGAGAGAGAGATTTACGTAAATATCTTAGAGGTCGTATAAAAAATTTTTTCGAGCAAAAGTTGTTTGTTTTTTTACGTACAATAAAATACCGTAATAAAAAATATGTGTTTCTATTTAAAAAAGCAAAGTTGACCTTGTTCTGATCTTGGCGACGCCATTCTATGTCAAATAACTACTATCGTTGAATGCGTTTTTTTAAGCCTTACAACTTTCGTCTGAAACATTTTTTTCTAAAATGTATCGTTTATGACATATTTGGGTGTATCCAGACTTTTGGCTCATCCTGTATATAACACATATAGTTCTATTGTTGTGCGAGAATTATAATATTGATGTAACGTTACTTTTAAAATTGGTGTTTATTGAATAATCTTCCAGTAAACACGAACTATCAATAACATAACATTAACGTTATAATTTCCTACTTAAGTATATAACACATGTATATAACAGTTATATTGTTGAGCAAAAATTATAATATTAATGTAACGTTACTTTTAAATTTGTTGTTTATCGAATATTCTTCCAATAAATATTAATATCAGTAACATAACATCAATGTTATAATTTCCCACTTAAGAATGTAATTGTTATTTTGTATGTTTTTACAACAATCAATTCCATCTATCATTCTACGTATAATAGTTATATTGCTAAGTAGGAAATTGCGATAGTTGAAGCAGGAACGCCAGCGGGAGCTGAAGCTTCTATCACCATTTCTAATAATTGTTGCTCCATTAAAAGCTATAAAAATAGTATGTATTAATATTAATATATATATATATATATATATATATATATATATATATATATATATATTATGAGACTATATATATATGTATATATATTGTGACGTGGAGGCGCCCGTCTCAAGAATCCCGTACCGAATTAGCGAGAATGTTTTTCGCGTGTCGCGTCGCTAACGGTTTTTCAAGACCTTTCCGAATATCGCGTTCCGTCGAATGTTTATTGTGAAGATCTTAGAACAAAGCGAAGAAGCGATTTTGCGAGCGGAACAGATGCGAAGGTCAGCGCGTCCCGAATTTTGTGCCCCTCGGCGTCCCTTGCCGGCCACCCGGACGAGGAGCAGAGGACAACGAGGATCGGACGACATCGAGGAGCGAGGACGCAACGGACGACAACCAGCGAAATCCTACATCAGGTGAATCGCACTCTCGTACTTTTGTGATTAAAAATATATTATCGCAGATTATCGCGCGCTCAGCAATAGCGAATATTCTATCGCTGAGAAATTATCGTAGTTATAACACAGTATCGCACTTAGACGGATCAGCTGTGTTTACTTTTAGCGAAGCAGCCGTCGGGAGAAACCCGGCAGAAAAAAACGGGAGAGCCGTGAGAGACAACAGGCGAACTCCCGATGACAACAGTGTCTCGAGACGAAAAGTGTCTCGAGACGAAAAGTGTCTCCAGACCAGAATACCGAAATCTGCCGATTCCCGATTACCGACCACCCCAGGACGAGAGGGGCAGCGACAAGGGAGGATCCACGAGGATACGTGATCCTCCCAGAGCCGATCAGCTGACAGCCTTACCGCGACTACCGCCGCGAGCGAACTTGTATCTTCCGCTATCAAGTGCAGAGTGAGAAAGAGAGAAGAGAGACAGCGAGTGAGAGAGAGAGAGAGAAAAGAGAGAGAGAAAAGAGAGAGAGAGGAGAGAGAGCGAGAGAGGGAGAGTGAAGTGAGGACGAGAGCGAGAGAGCGAGGCGATGGGAGAGCGAGGAGAGAGAGAGCGAAGGGCGAGAGAGGACGAGAAAGCAGGGAGAGAGAGAGGATCGCCGCCGCTGCCGCCACCGCCGCCGTCGTCGCCGACGTCGCCGCCGACGCAAGGGCCGTCGCCGAATATAGTAAGATTTACCATCTGCTCCAAAAATTTATTTGTGTCGCGTATCGACCCATCTTGTATCGTGTCTCGTCCGCGGAGTAGTCGCGCGATTAAGAAAAGACTCGCCCGAGGAAAACGTCCTCGGGCTTCGTGTGGCGTTTCGCGAGCAGTACCGCTTACCGAGGAGCGTTACCTTTACGACTTTATATCGCGGATTGAATATCGGGACGTGCGAGAGTCCCCGAATAAACGTAATTCTCAGTATTAAAATCAAGTCAAGTTGATTTCGCCTTCTCCTAACCCATCCCGTCTCCGACTTTAACCTCATAGGAGCTACCGGTCCCGACGGTTCCGGGACGCGCGATTTTCGCGATAATTATCGGCTCTCGCGTTTATCGAGATGGTGCGGCCTTTCCGCATCTGGCGCCCAACTCTCGCGGGTATCTTAGTGGCGTGTCCTGGAGCCGACGGCAATTTGTCGACGCGGCTAACAGGCGACTGTCTACCGTCGCTCGCGAAAATTACGTTCGCGAGTAGCGTCGCAATATATACAGGGTGACCCATTTTAACTTAGGCAGCCAAATAACTCGAAAAATAAGCACACTACGAAAAAATGTTTAGAATCAAAATTTCGTCATTTCGAGCGGGACGTACAATGACGTTAAAATTAGCCCCCCACCCCCCCCCTGGGCGGTGAGGGGGGGCAAGTTTGAAATCTTAAATGGGAACCCCTATTTTTTATTGCATATTCGGAATCTTTGGCTAAAAACACATACAATTTGTCTGCCGTACGGGAGCTGTCGTCCGCATGGATCGCGGGCGGCGGGCGGCCGTGCACCAGGCGCGTTCCGCGCGCGGGCGACTACCGCTCGCCGCGGCTTCACGCCGCCGCCGCTACGCGGCAGCGCGCCGAGCTGGGGCCGTTACTCGCGGTTAAATTTCGGTGTGGCGCCTATATAAGACGCCGCGGGCACCGACTCTAGGCCTTTTGACGACTATTGCACATCAGGTCACTGCCTCGCTGAGGTATTATTTTGCACTATCACTAGCTTCATATCGCCTTTTTGAGTGCGTCAGCACGTTGGGCTCTTGCCTCGCTCGAGGTATACGCTGGCTTATCTGCCTTGAACTTTACTGACTTAAGAGTGTCGTAGACACGTTGGCATTCGGGTTTAGGTTTCCGCAGCTCTTTAGAGTGCTCTTGCACCTTGGGCTAATATCTCTAGAGTGTCCGAGGACACGTTGACATCGGTGTTACGAAGTGTACGGTAACTCCACGGATCTCCAACCTTCTCAATACGATCGAGGATTGAGAGAAGGCTTCGCGCGACCATATCGGATTACCTTGACATCTCCACTGCGGTGGACGTCTCTCTTCGCGACATCTCAGTATTGCGCATACTGAATATTATCGCCGACAGAACTTACTGTTGGGATCACGACTCCGGGCGAGTCGTCCTTGTAACCAAGGACTTAGTCGCTGCCAGGGACGCAGCATATACACGCGAGCCCAGCTCGCCTTCACGTCCGCCCAGGACTTAGCCGCTGCCAGAGACGCAGCATATACAAAACACGGAGCCAAAGACTCCCGTCGCCGAATAACGTCGCGAATCATTTGCACCCCACGTCATCTTACGGGGCCGCTGGATAGCGGACTGTTAGCGACGAAGACCGCGGTCTCCACACGGCGAGCGGACATCAATCCGCATCCCGCATAACGAACCGGCCGCTCTCCACCCTCGGGCCGTTCGAAACATTTGGTCCTTCGAGCCGGATGCGGAAGGTGATCTTCTCGTCACCGCGAATCGCCAGTACAAGTGATTCTCTCGACTCGGCTATCAAGATGGATCGCGATCAGTTGCTGGGGCTGATCGTCCTTCAGACCGATCGACAGGGCTGCATATCGCGTATACTCGTCAACGCTAAGAAGAACGGTGAGGACAAATCGTTATTTGGCTTGGAGAACCGACTCCATATTCTGGATTCATACTGGTCTCAGTACGAGCGAGACCATGCTATCATCCGGACGTCTCGGGACGAGGTGATACGCTCCTCCGACTACATTAAGCGAGGCAGTTACGAAGACACCTCTGAAGTATACATGCTCCGCAAAATGGAGCTTCGTACCCTGATGGAGGCATTCAATGGTTCCAGGGCGGGCGGTGCGGCGGAGGAGACAGCGCGCCCCCCGCAGGCGACCGTTCCCGAATTGTCGCTCCCACGGATCCCGATTCCCACGTTCAACGGGGACTTCGATCGATGGCGATCATTCCGGGACATGTTTAAGTCCCTCGTTGGGAATAACGCAGCGTTGCAGGACATACACAAACTGCACTACCTGAAGCAGCACGTTACGGGAGAGCCTGAGCAACTCTTGCGCAATTATCCGGTTACCAACGACGGATTTCGCGACGCATGGAGCGCATTGTGCGAGCGATACGACAATACGCGCCGCCTTGTCAACGCATACTTGAATTCGTTTTTCGACTTGCGACCTATGAAGCAGAAGTCGGCCGCGGAGCTTCGGTGCCTACTTGACCGCACCTCGGAAATACGGTCGTCTCTCCGCCAATTGGATCGGCCGGTGGAAACTTGGGACGACGTGTTCGTCAATCGAACCGTCTGTCGTTTGGAGGCGGCCTCGCGTCGCGATTGGGAGAAGGCGACAAATAGAGAGCGCGAGCCGGTCTCTTGGGAGGCCTTGGTGGAATTTCTTGCGTCTCGCCTCCGAGAGCTGGAGGCGGTCGACGGAGGCCCTCGCTCCTCCACTGACGGAGGCCGAGGTGCCCTCCCTCCGGGATCCGCGAACGAACGTGGGCACAGCGTCCGTACGCACCACGTGGCGGAGGCCACGCGTAGGCCGTGTGCGCACTGCAGGGGGAGCCACCCGCTTTGGGACTGTACGGCATTTAAGCGACTGGCAACACAGGTACGTCGGGAACGAGTGATCGGTTGGGGACTCTGTTACAATTGTTTGTCGCCTCAACACCAGGCGAGCCAGTGCCCCTCGGGCCGTCGTTGTCGGGAGTGCGGTCAGGCGCATCATACCCTTCTCCACTGCGCGGAAGAAAAAACAGGCTCATCCCCTCCAGGTGCCACCATCTCCGCCACCGTCTCGGCCACCTCAGTGAGGCGAAATTGGCGTCGGGCTCCTAGACGCGCTTTGTTGGCGACGGCGCGCGTGTGTCTCTCCGCCTCCAACGGTCGTTCGACCATAGTCAGGGCTCTCATCGATACAGGGGCAGAGGTCAATCTGGTGTCGGAATCCGTGGTCCAGCGACTCCGGGCTGGTCGGCGAGCTGTGCGCATGGAACTGGCGGGCGCGGCGGAAACCCCGTCTCAGGTGGTGCGCGCCATGACAACCCTTCGTCTGTCAGCTGCTCAGAGAGAAAAGTGCGAACTACCTCTTGAGGCGTTGGTGCATCCGAGGTTGACGGCGTATAAACCACCACTCACGTCCATACCCCGTAATTGGACGCACCTTGAGGGTCTGTCGCTCGCAGACGACGTCACGGGCCTGTCTCGCATTGACGCGGTTCTCGGGGCCGACATCTACGCCAGTATCATAAGGCCCGAGTGGCAACGGGGTGAGGTTGACGCGCCCATTGCTCAGTCCACCAGCCTAGGATGGATCCTGATAGGCTCCTTGGGCGGGGAGTCCGGGACGGTTCGGGCCCACTGCCACGTGCTGCGGAATGCAAACGACGAGCTCGGCTCCCAGCTGCGACCTTTTTGGGAAGTGGAGGAACTACCTCCCACTTCCATGTTGACTCAGGCGGAGTCGGCGTGCGAGGAAATCTTCCGGGACACGTATGGCCGCACCGAGGACGGGCGTTACATGGTGCGCCTACCGCTGCGAGCGGACCCTCGACTCGAGTTAGGCGACTCAGAGCGAATAGCGCGGGCAACACTCCTGCGTCTGGAGCGTCGTCTCGCTACCCAGCCGGAATTACGGGCTGCGTACATCCAATTTATGGACGAGTATGAGCGGCTAGGGCACATGACTCCTGCTCAGTCCGTTCCAGGGGGGGCACAGTTCTGTATCCCGCACCACGCGGTCGTGAAAACATCGGACCGGCCCCTAAAAATTAGAGTCGTATTCAACGCCTCGCAACCCTCCTCCTCGGGCCGTTCACTGAATGATTTGCTGCATGTGGGACCTCGACTGCAGTGCGATCTACGCAGCGTTCTCCTTGCCTGGCGCCTCCATCGAGTGGCCTTTGCGGCCGACATTGAGAAGATGTTCCGGCAGATCCTCGTACACGCTCGGGATCTATCTCTCCAGCGGATACTGTGGCGCAGGAGCCCCTCCGATCCGATCCTCGCCTACCGCCTCAACACGGTCACGTACGAGACGGCCAGTGCTCCGTACCTGGCCCTTCGGGTCCTGCGACAGCTTGCTCAGGATGAGCAAAAGGCGTGGCCTCGAGCTGCGGAACTCATCCGCGCCAACACTTATGTGGACGACATCCTGGCGGGAGCGGATAGCGAGGCCGATGCTCAGGCTCTCCAAGGGGAGCTCATAAACCTTCTGAGGGCTTCAGCCTCAGAAAATGGGCTTCCAACTCGGCGGCTGTACTGGAGTCCATATGCGAGGAGGATCGAGAGCCGCTGATCCAGATACGCGACAGAGATGCGGTCGGAGCTCCTATTCTCGGAGTCCACTGGTTGCCACTGTCCGACACTCTGTGCTACGCGGTGAACCCGGAGGAGTCCAGTCCGCTGACGAAACGCGGGATCCTATCGACCACCGCGCGCTTGTTCGACCCTATGGGATGGATCAGCCCGGTCATCGTTCGTGGCAAAATACTCCTCCAGGAGTTGTGGTTAGCCGGGGTTGACTGGGATCAACCTTTGTCTCCCAACATGGTGGAGCGTTGGAAATTGTTACGCGTGGAGCTGGCGGATCTCCACGCGATCCGTATACCTCGCTGGGTGGGTTGGTCCCCCAGCGTTGAGGCGGAGTTACATGGGTTCTCCGACGCCTCCGAGCGATCTTACGCGGCGGCAATATACCTCGTGACGAGGCCCCGGGACGGGCCGGCGGCAGCAAGCTTGCTGTTCGCAAAAACCCGGGTGTCCCCAGTTAGACGGGTCACGCTGCCCCGTTTGGAGTTGTGCGGTGCGCACTTGCTGGCGTGGGCCATCCACTTCGTCCTCCATGCTGTGCCCGGGATGGCACCGAAGGTGTGCTGTTGGACGGACTCTACCGTGGCCCTCGCGTGGATCCGCGGCCACCCGTCCCGTTGGAGCTCCTTTGTTGCCAATCGCGTCGGGGCGATACACGAAATGATTTCGGGTGCCCGTTGGGGTCATGTATCGACGGTAGACAATCCCGCGGATGCCGCCACCCGTGGACTGTCGCCAGCAGCACTGCGCAGCCACGACATATGGTGGGGGGGTCCCACGTGGCTGTTGCTCCCGGAAGACCGTTGGCCAAAACGGGAGCCCCTGTTGATGACGGCGCCGGAGGAACGCCGCGTCGTGCACGCCGCCACGGTGGCCTTACCTAAATAAGACGGGTTGATAAGGGCGTCCTCATATCGGAAGGCCCTTCACGTGATGGCCTATGTGTTCCACGTAGTCACGAGGAGCGCCGGCTCTGCGTTAGGACTGACTGCCTCCGAGCTCCGACGCGCGGAGTTACGCCTTATACGGCTGACCCAAAAGGGATTCTTCGACCAGGAGAGACGTTGCGCGCAGAGCGGCTTGCGCCTTCCCCGCGACAGCCCGTTGCGGACACTGTGTCCGATACTGGATCGGGAAGGATTGTTACGAGTGGGCGGCCGGCTGGCATCCGCCCAACTTCCGGTAGACGAGCGTTGCCCAATTGTCCTGCCCCGACAATCACACTTCACTACTCGGCATTACTCGTGCGGGATATCCACGAGCGCACGCTCCATGGGGATACCCAGCTCACGCTGGCCACGATGCGCGAGCGTTTCTGGGTGCCAGCCGGTCGAGCCTTTGTCAGAGGGCTGCTCCACCGCTGCGTCGTCTGTACTCGGCATCGGGCGCGACCCATGCAACCAATTATGGCTCCTTTGCCTAGGGACCGTGTCGTCTCCACGGCGCCATTTAACGTCGCCGGAGTGGACTACGCCGGGCCGGTCTCGTTGACTGCTTCGCGGGGCCGGGGCCGGGGCCGGGGCCGACGCGCCTTTAAGGGTTATATTGCCGTGTTCGTGTGCTTTACCACCAGAGCGGTCCACCTGGAACTCGTGGGCGATTACACGGCGTCGGCGTTCTTAGCAGCGTTGCACCGCTTCGCGGCACGCCGTGGAACCCCGTCGACTCTTTGGAGTGATCAGGGCACCACCTTCTTAGGAGCCAGTCTGGAGCTGCGCACTAACTTGTCTGACGTACTACGACAGGGGGGGCCGGTGGCGCAGGCCCTTGTTAACGACGGCACGGAGTGGAAGTTCATCCCTCCTTCAGCTCCACACTTTGGCGGATTATGGGAAGCAAAGGTTCGTTCCGTGAAACACCACCTCCGGCGGGTAATAGGCGACCGACCACTCTCCTTCGAGGAGTTTTCTACGTGGCTGGCTCGCGTAGAGGCCTGTCTCAACTCCCGGCCGCTCTGCCCGCTCACCGACGATCCTGACGACCTGGGGGCATTGACTCCGGGCCACTTCCTCATAGGCCGTCCGCTCAACGCCATTCCGGAACCAAGCACCGAGGGAGTCAGACCGTCCACGCTGTCCCGGTGGCAGCTCCTGCAGAGCATGACGGAGCACCTCTGGGCCAGGTGGTCCAAGGAGTACTTGTCGCAACTCCAGGCGCGGCGCAAGTGGGCCAGCCCTGAGGACCCGCCACGCGTGGGAGAACTGGTAGTCATCATCGACGCCCGTTTCCCTCCCTCTAAATGGGCTCTGGGACGCATCCTCGAGCTGTTCGCGGGCCCCAATGGTCAAACACGAGTCGCCCGAGTGCGAACCCAGGAGTCCGTACTCACGAGGCCCCTGGTCAAGCTAGTGCGGCTGCCGACCGGGGAAGCGGTCGCTACACCCGACACTCCAGCCCTTAGTTAATTTCCGTCGCTCAGACGGAGGCGGGCGGTATGTTCCGTACGGGAGCTGTCGTCCGCACGAATCGCGGGCGGCGGGCGGCCGTGCACCAGGCGCGTTCCGCGCGCGGGCGACTACCGCTCGCCGCGGCTTCACGCCGCCGCCGCTACGCGGCAGCGCGCCGAGCCGGGGCCGTTACTCGCGGTTAAATTTCGGTGTGGCGCCTATATAAGACGCCGCGGGCACCGACTCTAGGTCTTTTGACGACTATTGCACATCAAGTCACTGCCTCGCTGAGATATTATTTAGCACCATCACTAGCTTTATATCGCCTTCTTGAGTGCGTCAGCACGTTGGGCTCTTTCCTCGCTCGAGGTATACGCTGGCTTATCTGCCTTGAACTTTACTGCCTTAAGAGTGTCGTAGACACGTTGGCATTCGGGTTTAGGTTTCCGCAGCTCTTTAGAGTGCTCTTGCACGTTGGGCTAATATCTCTAGAGTGTCCGAGGACACGTTGACATCGGTGTTACGAAGTGTACGGTAACTCCACGGATCTCCAACCTTCTCAATACGATCGAGGATTGAGAGAAGGCTTCGCGCGACCATATCGGATTACCTTGACATCTCCACTGCGGTGGACGTCTCTCTTCGCGACATCTCAGTATTGCGCATACTGAATATTATCGCCGACAGAACTTACTGTTGGGATCACGACTCCGCGCGAGTCGTCCTTGTAACCAAGGACTTAGTCGCTGCCAGGGACGCAGCATATACACGCGAGCCCAGCTCGCCTTCACGTCCGC